TCTGAACCCAAAGTATGTGGCGGGCATCAGTCCCAAACGTTTCAGACTACGTTGGTGGGCCATTCTGTTGGTGGAGGCTGTTCATTCGTTTCCCTTAACTGTGGATGTGGTGTGGCTAAGCTTGCATGCTTTTCAGCCTTGACTTCCTTTTAGTGATAGACTGAAGCCTACGGCTTTCAACATTAACTCTTTTTTTCCCAAAGTTGTTTATTATCACAGGAAAAGAATTGAAACTGGGGAAGACATTAACTATTGAAGTACAAATAATTATTGTCTGAAAATAAGGTGACCTGGAAGATGGAGTGTGCTCCAGCTCACACACCTGGAAAGGGCAGAGTCCATTGGAAATCAAGCCGTGCTCAGGGCTTGACCATCTCCGTGTCTGACAGTTAGTGAGCCCTGAGCCCACCTCATCTCCTTCCCCTTCTTAACATTTTCCATCCCCAGGTCTTTGGAAAGGAGAAACTGTGTGCTTCTTGAGAGAACCTCTAGATTTTGAAACTGATGAGAGCAAGTGGAAACCTACAAACCAGGGGTACGTTTGGGAGACACAGTCCTCAAGCAGGATGGGTTGAATGAATTAACAATGACAGAATTGCGATGTGCAGATGTCTTTTCAGTTACACATTTGCTTGATGTAGGAATCTGTGCCTCATGAGCAGTCATAGACCATGATAGATAAAGAAGTAGGTACATGGGTTGTTAGACAATAGATATAGTGATAGATAGTTGGATGGATAGATAGATAATTATAGTGATAGATAGATAGATAGATATAGTGATAGATAGATAGATATAGCAATAGCTATAGTGATGGATGTATAGATAGACAGACAGACAGACAGACAGATAGATAGATAGAAGATAGATAGATAGAAGATAGAGTCTATTTTCAAGTTTCCTAGCACAAAACTGCTACTATCATGTAATCTCTGAAGAAAAAAAGTTGTCTGTGTGTAAAAGAAGTGGCCATGTTCCATAAGTACCCTGGGGATGTAAGCTGGTCACCTGAATCCCTTAAGCAGAACTAGATTATTGGGATTTTCAGCTCCACTCTCTAACCTGTGGACAGGGGAGGCAGGCCAAGGGTTAAGTTGGTCACAAATAGTCAATATTTTTAAGCTATATTGGTTTTGGTTTTTATTATTTCATAATTTTAAACATATAACTTACTTAGCCTAATATTTTAATCAATAATCCCTGTTAATGTCTCCTAACAACCCAAAAGGATGGGGTTTAAGGAACTGAATTTGTTGAAAATTTCATAAGCATTTTTAGAAGAAATATAAAATGGTGCAATCTGCATGGTAAAAAGTATACAGATTGTGGTAATTTGAATGAGAATGGCCCCTAAGGGTTCCTGTGTTTGAATTCTTGGTCTCCAGTTCATGGAGCTATATGGCATAAATTAGGAAGCTTGGTCTTGCTGGAGGACATGTGGACCTTGTTGTGGGAAGGGTATCACTGGAGATGGGCTTTGAGATTACAAAAGTCCTCCCAAGGCAAGTCTCCACCCCTCTCTTTCCCTGAAATTTGTGAGTCAGATATGAGCTCTCAGCTACTGCTACAGTATCATACCTGCTGGTCGGCCACCATGGTCCCTACCATGATGATTATGTGCTAACCCCCCTGAAACTGTAAGCGTGCATTCAAATAAATATCTTCCTTTATTTACATCAAAAGAACAGTAACTAAGATATAGATTAACCCCTAAAATACCCCAAGTGACCCACACAAACACACACACACACTTTTCTTACCTGATCTAGGGTAGCTCACTATGATGACATCATCGTTTTTCACCAAAAAATTCTGAGCAAACAACAGAGATTCCACACTAATGAAATCAGCCAGCATTGGAATCCCCTTGAACAAGAAGGTACTGTCGGTCATCTTGACACAGCTGTGGGCTTCAGAGAGGCGCCCACGTCACCGCGCTCACTCAAGTGTTGCCTGTAAGTGGCCTGTGTATGGTCCAGAGGAGGCGGCTAAGAGCCCACCTGGCAATGCAGAGCACAGGGCAATGCACAGTCCTCTGGAGATGCCGGAAGAACAGAACTTACACAGGTGTGGGAATTGAGACGACTGGGATTTTGACAGAATTAAATTTGACAAAGCAGTTTTGGGGCACTCCACCAGCAAAGGGGGTGGAATAGAGGAAAATTCCCAGTGGACCGAAGCCAGGATGACCCCTGAAAGGCTTTGGCCCCAAGTCCAGTTTTCTTTCCCTTTTTATACTCTAGACCACAAGCTGGAGCAGTCAAGCAAGCAAGATTTCACAGGAGCTGCGTGGAGGTCACAGGTCATTCAGGGCAATGACTCATGTTTCTTACAACCACAATTCCAGGTCATTTTGTTCCACTTGAAGTCATTTTGGAACATGGGCAATACAAGCAGAGTTTTAAGTAACTAGTAAAATAATCCAATAGATTAACATCTAATAGTTTGGCTTTTCTAACTCATTCTGCTTCATTCCCTCTTCTTTATGTCAGAACGCCTTACGAATACTGCTTGAAGAAATGGTTGACACCCTGGTTCATCATCTGCAGGTTCCCTGTTTTTTGTTTTTGGCTTTTTTTTGGTTCCCTGTTTTTATTCTAGTTCTGTTGAACCTGGACAGGTGTTGGGAGGCGTGGTCCTTACAGGAGTCCTAGTGTCATCCATCATAAGAGGCCACAGTAGCAGAGCCATCAGGGTCCCCACGATGTCCATACTGTACCTCATTGTGTCCCAATTGGACCTCAAGCCTTAATCTTTACTGTAACTTTTTGGGCATTTTCTCATACTATTTCTGACTGATCAGCATTCTGCTTTTAAAACCATGGCTCTGCCTCCCTTTCAACTGTTATCAAGGCCTCTATGGCTTTGGAGGGACATTACTGACCATGAATTGACCTGATTCTGCTCAATGACTATGCTTTCCTGAACAATAGGTTCCCCTGAAATTGATCTTTTGTCCCCTGGCCACCTATCTATAAACTGTCACCGGCTAGGGCCATCTCCAAAAGACATCACAGTCTGTTTTGGTGCACAGTATGTTGCGGTCTGTGGATGGTAAATGGCTGGCATCTTTCCAAGTAGTATGTCCCGAAGGAGACACGACAGAACCCCTAAGGGGCAGTAAGTTACACTGATGACTGTCCAGGAATTGGAGATGCCCAGGGACAAGGTTGTTCTCCAGCCTAATTTCTGTGGCAGGGTCAGAGGCTGAGTGGAGACTACATAGGTGCATATCCACAGAATCAGGAGCCATCACCCCCATTGTGAGGCTGTTTGGAGACTGTCAGTTTCAGAGGCTGCTCTAAGCCAGCTCTCATGGTCCTCTCCTGGTTCCTGTCTACAACAGCCTTGGCATGTGTGTGGGGTATCCATGGCTTGCTACCTGCAATTTTAAGGGCTGAGGGAGGGCTGAGGATTTGGAAATGTTTTGTGCAACATAGCCAAGGTTTTTAAAGAACTGCTGAAGCCAGTGTATCCATACTTCCAGAGGTCCCCTGAGGTGTTTGTGAACATTGTACCCTAAGCAGTAAAAGGGGCAGAATTTCTGCCCAAGGGAGATCTGTTTCTTGGTAATATTTAATCGGTGTCATTTTAAAGTTAAACTTTTTCTCTCAACCCATCCTAATGATGGGGCAGAATCATGAGCACAAGTCCAAGTCAATCCTCTGTGTGGTAGGAAAGGCTCCTACTCAGCTGAGAAGCGCATGCCAAGCCAGCAAGTACCAGCCCCTCTGCTGGGTGGGATGTCAGTGAAAGCACTGCTAGATGTCTTGATGGGTAGGAAGGACTTCCACTTTTGTATCAGCTTGTGGGCCTTGAGTTCCTGCTTGGGGTCGTTCCAAGAACACTGCTGACAGGCTTTGCCAACTCATTTAGTCAGTGTTGGCAACGTCCAGGCCACCAAGTATGTCAGCAATAATTCTTGTAGGCCAGTTTTTCCAGATGGGTTGGTCCACTAGCTTGGCAGATGAGGATGGGAGTGGTCATCTCCGGAATTACTGCTTCCTCTCATGACAAAAAACCAGCCCTCCTGGTTTCCAGTAGCCCCTTCTTCAATGGTTCTTTTTCTTCCTTCTGGCTTCTATGAGGGGAGCTCTGGGCGCAGTCAGAATGTAAACATATCTTCTGGGGGTAACGGAGAGGACTGTGGTGCTGTATCTTAACGGACTCCATCTTGTCTATTTATGTGACCCTCACGCGGCACAAGCCCAGGGGCTGGGGGAAGCAGAATTCATCTAGGAGTTGTAGGATTTTGTCTCTGTTGTAAATTTCTCTGTTCTGTGACAGAAGAAATTCCTCTCCTCAATATAGCACAACTTTAATTTTTTTGATCTGAAGGGCTATCCCTCCCCTTGTGGGCCTCCTATCCCCTTAGTAGAATGTATGAATTGGAAAGTTTGTCCTTCATGTCCAACCATGAGGAGAAAAATCTCTTCTATAATTTCTACAATTTCTCCACTGTTATGAAGCTCTCATCTTCTTTGGGCAAGCAAAAAGCTAAATGACATAGCTGTCATCTTCTTGGATGAAGGGAGGGCCTGGTGTTCCCATGGTGGCAGGGAGGATGTCTCTGTCATTAGGTGGTCTTTTGACTGCCTTGTAGCCCTATGACGTGGCAATTGTAGCCAGTTGAGTTGGCAGCATCGTGAACAAAATCTCATCTTCTGGATGAGCTAACGGGGGTGCTTCCTTCAAATATGCTCTTTTTGAGACTCAATGGAGACCAAGGGTTGCAAAGAAGTTGTCTCACCTAAGATCCTGAGGGCAGGCCCTGTCTGCAGGGAATGAAGAATGTGAATGGCCACTTGTTTGGCTTAACACAATGGGTCACCTGTGAAAGGGGTGGATAGAGTAGATGACAAGCCAGGAAAGGTAGGGGAGTTAGGGTTGGTAGGACAGTGTGACAACTGGGGGCTGAAGAAATTAATAGTCTTTGCTGAGGGCCGTGGGACCATACAGCAGTGAAAACCAGTGTTTAACAAGCCAACACACTAGACACTGTTGGAGAGTCCTACCTGGCGAAGCTGCCTCACCGGGCATCGCAGGGGGCTCTACTTAGCAAAGCCATGGGCTTGTTGACTGAATGATTGGTTGTTCCCATAACTTACTCAGGTAGCACTGCTCTGCCTCCCTAATAAGAACAGCTGTGGGGCTCTTTGCACAGTCCTTTGGTGGTGTGTTTTATACTTGTTGGGCACACATATGGCTGTGGATGGCCAGAAGATGATTCTCTGCTTAAGGTGTGAAATATTGATGAACAGAAATAGCACCAGGATATCTTACATTGCTCAGACTGGCATAGTGTTCTCAGTCACAAAGAACGTCTTTCACACAGACAAGATAACTTCAGACTTCAGAGAGAATTCCATGCAGGCTGCTTTACCCTAGAGACAAATACACAAGGTCATTCTCCCAGGTGTTGCGCTGATTCAAAGCCAGAGCTTGATACAACTTTAGGTCTGCATGTAGTCCCAGCCTCAGGCTCAAGGTCCAGCTAATTGCTATTGTTAAGTCTTGATTTCCAATGTTAATTTCTGTCTGGGATCCCTCAGCAACCTTGAGCTACGTGCATGAGACATTGTGACATTTGTGGCATGAGAGAAACTATGTGACTTTTGAGTTTGGGTAGGGCCCTGAAAAGCAGCCTGTAACTGTCTAGTGTCGGGCTGTGAGAGAAGAGACAGCACAGAGCTAGCATCCCACAGTTCCTCCTCCTTTCTTCCTTGAAGTTCCCCCCTCCAACCTGGGTACTCCCTCCCTCCCCCCCT